TTTATAAACTTCGGGTTTAATAAGACTTAAAATAGGTATAAGTCCCTTGCAAACAACTCGAGTGGTTTAAGTCTTTCAAGTCGTTTAAGTCTTTTGAGTCTTAATATAACGACTGAGTCTTATTAATAAAAACTCGAACCCCCAGTCGTAATTTTAGAGTCGAGTCCTGTAAAATGGAGTCGAGTCGTTATAAAACGCCTTAAAAGACTGAATCTCTTTCATCACTATGAGTGGCTAATTGGAGAAAAAGCTTTTCTCACAGGTGGCGCTATGGCGAAACAAACGTTTAGATTCGTAAGGTGTGCTGGTTCGTTCCGTAGGTCAGTTCAGAGAGCGGTTAGCCCCCCGGTCTGGCAAACAGTCAGTGGTTCGAATCCAGCCGGGTCAAAGAATTATTCCTTGAGTAGATAGGTAGATATTTAATAAAAAAACATTGTAACTGATTTGGAAATTATAGTCAATATGATGTATCATAGGGATTTAAAGCATCGACATCCCATTTGAGAGGCAACACTCAACACTCTCCCGTAAGGCCACTATCGCTCTATAATTGTAGGGCCGCCTTCAAATATACGCTTATAGAAGCGCAACAGTGGTGCACCTGAGGCCACTACTAATATTCATACAATATCTAGTCTGGCAAAGTGGCGCGACTGTAGCGCTGCAGCTGCGCTGCTAAATATTGTATGAAAATGAGTAGTGGCGCGACTGCAGCTCCACAGTGGCGCCCATGTCGCGCTTCTATAAGCGTCTAATGTGAAGGCACCCTGATAAGCTTCTCTTTTAAAACGAAAAGAATTTATTTGTTATGATAATGTACTATTGGTTTTAAATTGTGTAACACACCTAACCGGTTGGAGCAACATGACGCAACTTTAGTTAACGACAAACAGTTAGGTTAATTGAATGGACCTGAAACTTTTAACAGCCTTGAAATCCGACCCAAATTGTATGTAAAGCACTACATTCTTCTACTAATTAGGTGCCTACACTGAGACATAGGCAGAACAATACCAATTGCAACTTGAACACTATGCGAATGTTGTAAGGTGTAATTTCAACAAATATTTTTGTTTTTATTTTCACGCATTATCTTTAGGTGTGGCTCATCGTACCAGACTTTACCAAATGTTAGGACTTAACCATTTTTTCCAAAATATACTGAATTCTTCTAACAAGCACGAATTGAATAGTGATAGATAACCAAAATATCTTAATAAGCATTTATTAAAGGTACAATAAGAATAAGTATAAAATACAACTACAAACAAAACAAGTAGGTGCAGAAAAAGTTAGCTGGACGAAATTTGTTTACGGTATAAGCTTGACTTTGTACATTAATTTGTTATCGTATATTTGTTTTGTGGTACAGTAACGTGTTTACATACAATTTTTATGTTTACGATCTCTGACCATACAGCAGTTTTAAAAAATGTTTTTTTTAATTGCCATTGCAGACTTGTAAGAAAAAATGTACTAGTATTTTTCAATAATCACAGTGCGTATTTTACTTACGACGAATCGTTCTTTGTGGCTAACAAATTTGTATTGAACCTTCTCAATAATCCAGAAACATAAAGAAGTGATTATATGTTCTGCGTGCCATCATGCAGAACATGTAATCGAGGAGCAGATGGAGAAGTAGAATATACTCGTGAAGGCGTTGAAATAAAAATCAATTAATTTATAAATCATTTAGTAAGTTGAAATATTGCTCAGTTTTCCTACAAATTAATTTGTTCTACAAACAGTATGAACGTTAATCATCAAACGTCGACTTTTTCAAGGCGAGACTGAATAGGCTTTATATAGGTGTGCATGCTCCATCGTCGACCTCAACATCGTTTCCATCAGGTGAGATAAAGGTCAAATGCGCATATTTTATTTATAAAAAATGTAAACAAGTGTGAATGTGAAAAAGTTTTTTAACACTATATCTACTTGTAATTTTGAAGTTTATTGAATGTTTGACCACCATTATATTTCATTATTTTTGTGAAGTTACTCCACTAGTTTGTAATAATTATTAATACAAAGATCGAAAACTAAGAAAAAATTCCTTCGAACCAGCTGAATTCGAACCAACGACTTTCAGCAAACTGTGCCGGACGCTATGTCAACTAAGCCAAGAAACAACCTAGCGGACCTAACGAATGTTTTTATGTGCTTGTGGCAGATATTTAGTTTTTAACGATTTTTTTTGCCGTAGTATCTATGAAAGCTTTTCTTCACTCAGCCAGGTACTATATCTATTTTATAACATCAAGAGTCTGGATGAACAAGTCATGCAGAAGCGACATGCCTACCTATAACAGTTGCGGTGCCACTCAGAGCTTTAAATTGCAGACATGAGTGGCCCTACCACTGCGCCCATCTGAAACTAAATTGACAAGTCCCTTGTCTGCTACTAAAACGTCAAAGAAAGTTATGGTATTGTTTGTACGCCAATTTGACACTTAAAGCTTTATAGATAACGTTGTTGGCACAGCGGTTGGTTACCTCACTGGGCGCTTAATGATAAGATACCGGGACCTATTCCCGGTAGGACCAGTTCGAAAACCAAGTTATTTAAATAGATTCTTAACCTGGTTGTGCCTGCAGAGTTAATTACATTGCTTTGTTACTATAGTACTTTTCAATTTCGTTCCAACCTCACCGTTTCTCCTTCTGTCGACTAGAAGGTCCTGAACACTCCATCCTTATGCCGTTGATATACCATTCATTTGCACTAAACGTTTTGCTTCCTCTTTTCTGATGCGTACGGCAAAGGAATGGAATACTCTACCGGCTGTAGCTCTACTCTACCGGCTCTATCCGTGTTTCCCGAATAGTAGGGGCTATTCAAGGCTTAAGGCTTATCATTGTGGCCAAGAATGTGTCTATTATTTATTAAAAAAAAGTACACTGGAAAAACTTTGAGACCAAATGTGATTGTGTGATCCGTTATTTTTAGTAAACTTGTTCAAACTAGTTTCAAATAAACATATTAATAGGGAGAGTTCGCAGTTTTCGTTGTCATATCCAAAATTCATGAGCTTAAAACATAATGAATGCTTGCGTGCGTTAGTTCAGTCTAGCTTTTGTGTCAGCCAAGTGTCCAGTTACCGAGTGACCGTCCTTTGCAAAAGTGAAATTGTACCTAAAAAACTTTAGCCAAAGATTTAGAAGCTCGTGTTAGTGCGATTTAGCCGCTTTCACTTTTATTCCTAACTGTATTTTCTCTGTAGACTTATTGGACATGGACTGATAAGTCCCAAGAGCATTGATTTTAAAAGTATCAAATATAATTCACCCTTATTCTTCCTAAGAATCGATTTTCCCTTTATCCTTATTAACCCAGAAACATTACTTTGTTATACAAGCATATTTTTTGTTATTATTTTTATGTAATTGTAAATTATTTGTTGTAATGCATTAATTTAGTTTATTATGCTTCTTTCCAATACGCGCTACTGCAACATGACAGCCGATGCTAAGTCATAGATAAAAGGATCTGGAAAGGATATGTGAAAAGCCACATGCCTTATTTCATTTCTTTCGTTATTATTCATTATTATTATAAATATTATTATTTACTGTAATTGTTTGAGGTTCATGTGATTTTTGAAAGTTGTCTACGTGAAGAGGCTGTAGAATCTGTGCATTACCTAAATAAATAAGTAAAAGATTTAAAAAAGTACAAACCAAATAGTCTGTGAAAAAGCCTCATTATTTTTTATTAATTGATTTTATTTTTTTAGGTGATATTTTTACAAACATTGCTTTTGAATTCTAAAAATCGCGCTATGGTAATAAGCATTAAGTCCTGGTGCCTTTTAAATGTTACTATTTGGCACTTCAGGTTCTTTACCTCTCACCAACGATATCTATTGTACTAGTTCTCTCTTAAAAATTAATTTACATCGGTATGTTGTTCACATTTCGCTAATTGATAAAATTGTGTGAACATAAATTTAAAGTTTTAAATTATTCACATTGATTCGGTAAGTAGTGTTGTGGTTTTAATTAATTTGTACATTAAAATATTTTGATAACCGCGAAATAGTATACAAAATTTCACACATCCATCTCAATTTGCAAACATTAATGACGCGTGTTAAATAAAACAAGACAAAACATAAATCATAGATTAATAAGCAACAGAGTATTCAGAGTGCACAATAACAGAGTATGTCTAATATGAATGTTCCAGTTACTAAGGTTACCACATAAATTTAAATAATATATAAAAAAGATTAAGCTCAACGATATCTATGTACAAGTCGCAAGATCTTTGACTTTCCGCAAGGAAAAGTTCATAACATATGTACTTATTTCAACAACACCACTTTATTTTTTTTTCTATAAAATTAGTTAGTTTTTTCTTTTTAGACAGTGAAAGGCTCAAATCAAAATGAAATGTATTGTGCAACTAGTAGCGACTTTGCCAAGGGCTTTACGTTAATTCCCCAACGAAGGATAAATATCATCAGTAAACACTCAATATTATGTGTCTGTCTTGCTCATTCCCAATAGGTATAGACTGTCGCGTCTGTCCACGGTTCTACGGTACCGATATTCTTTGACAAAATTTAACACTAAAACAAAATACTATCACATAGTGTTTTGTTTGAAACATCAAGGTACTATGAATGTTCTTGTCTATAGATCGTTGCCTCTCATCTACAGATCTATTTAAATTAATTGTGCAATTTATAAAAGATCACAAAATAAACCACTTTCTAGAACCTGTCTCAAAAGCAACTAATTCACCAGGAAGATGGTATAAAAAAACTGAGACGTGTCTACCGCGCAAAATTGACATATTGTAGACTATCCAACTTTGGTACGTGATTATTTTAACCAACAAAAAGCTCGATTCACAATAAAATTTGGCACAATAGGTCAAAAAAGGAATTATTTTGGATTGTAAAGCAGCGAATGACATAAAGGTACTACTAAATTAATTTCAGACTTTTTACTTTCATTGTTTTACTGAAATTCTTATTATTTGTTCCCAGCTGCGGTATACTTCGCGGGCGTAATAGGTGCGATTGGCGTTTCGCTTTTAGGCGTCTTCTGCATACTGTCGGTGCTCCAACTCGCCATGATCTCATCCAAAGAGCGCGTTGGACTCAAATACACCAACTTGGTAATGCTGAAGATGACGTTGGCGTTACTAGCAGGTTAGTCAATTGACGATGACCAGAGATGAGCAAGCGCCCGGTTTTTAAGCCGATTTAAACCAGGTTATCAAAACGCCGTGTTTAAATCGAGTTAAAACCCATTAACACCTGAAGTCGAGGGCAAAAACTATTTACAACTAAATATTTATTGTAAATCGAGTTTTGTTCAAATGTAACGGTATTATTACAAAATGTTTATGGCTTTCTGCTCTAGTCGAATCGATTTGCTTTTCTATTGAATCGATTCGCTTAAAAATCGCATTGCAATAAATAGATGCAAAAAATCGTAGATCGTATGCACTTGAATTGATTCTCATAAAAATCGAATGGTCATGTGCATCTTTAGTAGTGAGGAATCCACAGGATTGCAAGGTGGGTGAAGTTGCCTCTTTTTCGTCTAAAAAGATTTTTTTACATCAAAATTTGTAATAAACATAGAATTATATGAAGTACCGTATTCGCCCTTTCCGCCCAAGATTTTAGCAGAAATGGGCTGAAACCTTAAAAAACTTTTGGTTAAAACCCGGGCGGGTTGATTGGGTTTCAATCCACTGCCCATCAAGACCACGACACAAGGTCCGTACATGTCTCGTTAATGCAAGATCTCCAGATATGCTCGGCTTAATTATAATGATATTAAACGATCTTAGTGAATTTAGGAATGATTTGGTACAAGCAAATACGAATCCCTTCTTTCGTAAATTTTGGAAACGGGGAGCAGAGAGAAGTTTTGTGTTTCTTTCCATTTTGATGTACTTACTTGTTGCTCAACCATAATCTTGTGGATTAAAAATATCACTCAACTTCTTTCATTGACTGGAGACACATATAGAAAGATAGGTACAAGTAAGTAAAAAACGTTCTCTAAGGGTTAAGCCACACCTATCGGAATCGGCTTGAGACGCCAGGTATCGTGGCACCATTAGAATTACTTTAAAATCCAACTTCGACTTCCTAAGTTAGTAGTTTTGTCTTACGATGCTTTAAAACCATTTCCGGAAATCCGGAATTCGAAAAAGTAATTAATTAATATTTGGTGGTATTAACAACTCTGTCGCTCCTTGTAGAGCTATATCTATATAAGAATATATATATATGGAACATCTTTTTCCGACTATTGGTTGTAATGCTTGCCATCGTTGTGAAAGGACTTCCCAGTCGGCGTATGGTACTGGCCCATTATTGCCCAGATTGCGCCAAACGTAAAGGAAAAGAAGGATACGTCATGCGAGGCTCCTTTAGAGCGCCCCAGGATATTACTGTAGTACTGAATTACTTGTACCAAAACTGAAATATGTGTTTTTGCAGCGTTGCTGTCTATAGCTGCCGCAGGCCTGTTCGCTGTCCAAGGCGATGACAGAGGGTTCCGGGTCGAAAGGGGAGAAGCTTTTTATGTTCAGGTATGTTTTACTTTTTTTTATAATATCAAGTGACGGCACGGACAAGTCGTGGACCTGTTGGTAAGTGACACGCCTGGCCATAACAGTTGCAGTGCCACGTAGAGCTTTAAATCATAAAGATCTGAGGGGCACTGCCACTGCGCCCGACACCCTGAGACATAAGTTGACAAGTTCCGTGTGCCTGTAATTTCACCAGCACCCTTACCCTTCAAAAACGGAATGCAGTAATGCTCTCATTACGGCTTGGTGGCAGAAGTAGGTCAGATGGTAGTACTTCTCTGGACGAACTCTTTCACAAGGAGCTCTACTGCTACTAAAATTTTCGTATCATAGACCAAGCCAAAATGTATTTCTTTTCACATGCAACTCTTTCTTCATTGTTATTAACGAAATTTGCGTAAAATATGGAATCTATACAAGAGCAACAATTTACCGCCGCCACTCAGTCAGAAACAACTTTAAATAAATATTAGACACCATTACATAATATGTGTGTTGCTTTGTTCCCAAAGCAAGTAACTAAATCACTTGTGTTATGGAAATCGGAAACAACGCCGGTACCACAAACACCGAGACACAAGACAATATAGAAAAGCTAGTTTTTCTATGTTGATCCGGCTGGAAATCGAACCCGGCACCTCAGAAATCGACTCCAAAAAACTGGTGTGCACACCACTCGACCGCGGAGGTCGTCTAAAACTAAAGCATGTCAGCCATGACTATAGGACCTGTAAAGAGCCCGAAACGTTGGTTTGGAAAAACATATAACGCGATTTAGATCCGAAAAAAAAATAGTTTCGTTTCCTACCAAAAATTGGAAGCAATTAAGGCACAAGCAGTAAATTCGACAGCTATTCGAATTCTTTTGGCGACAAAACGAGCAAATATGCATTAGGTAACAATAATTCGTCATCCATCTTTTCTTTCTGCTCCTATGTGATCGATCAATACCAGCTAGATCAATACAAGATAGCTCTGAAACGACTAAGTTCAGAAAAAGTCTGGCAAAAGAACCTGAAGTGTATACGAGTGAATACGATCAGATCGATAGCTTCAATTAACGCTACGCTAACTTTAATTTTTGAACCTGTTCTGTTTTTATTTTGCTTTTTTTTTACACAAAATTTGCTTTTTAGTTTTTTTAGAATTTTGTTAGTTGTTTCTTTTTCTTTCACAAAGTTCAGGGAGCATAATATGAGTAAATAAATGTAGCTGTTTATAAAAATAACAGAAAATGACCAAAAAATAAATAATAATAGCGCACGCACTCAACATAGCCCCGCACTAGGGAAACCCTGTATCGTGGGTGCCATGCACATACATATAGACAACCACAAATTACACCCAAACTCACGAGAGAAATAAATATAAACCATACAAATATTTCTCCCTGCCCGGGAATCGAACCTGGGGCCTCTGCGTGGCAGTCCGGCATGATAACCATTCGGTCACGGAGGCAGCTAGTAAAGTATGCGATAAAAATAAAGTAGGCTAAGTGTTCATAGAAGGTATCGAGATAATCGAAACCGAGTTTAAGGACACGAAATCTGACGTGTATTCCCAATCTTAAAGTATAAAAGTTATAGAGATCTTCAAACTGCCTGAGGTCTGCATGTTGTAATTTACGGTTTTTTTTTACATTTCAGATAACCTGCATCGTGATAAACTCCCTTCTCTTTATAATGTCGGTGTATGACACACTGTATTCGCGGCGAGTCGGCGGCGACCCGACCAATCCACTCGGGGAACCTCAAGGGACCACTATTAATAACCCTGGCTTTAAAGAAGGTCGAGGTACGGTACTTCATATTAAGGCTGAAAACAGTAATATTAACGTATTTTTCTGTTAACAACATGGACAGTGATTCATATTATGTCAATGTTTCAAGGTCCGAAAGTAACTTATCATTAATGATTATCATCACTTCTATTTATTTTCCCGATACATCTGAACGGTTTTAAGTTCCAAGCCATTGGTTGACTTTAATTAATCATAATTATTTAGTGAATAAACACACTAATCTTAAAATCTAATCATTTGTAGTTGCAATTCTAAGGGCTCATTCAGAGTGGAGGCGCGGGTGCGGGCGCGATTTTTGGCGTCTTGCCTTTCACAGCGCCGAAGCGGCTCGAGCGGGTAGATTCACACGCCGAAATCACAAACAGATGCTAGACGCTAGACCAAGCACTGGGAAAGATACGGGCGGACCCAGCCAATAGATCTAACCCGCGCGGGGCGCGCACCCGCGCCCGCGTCCGCCTCGTGACAGACCTGCGCGCGCGGCCACTGTGAATGCAACGAGCATCTACGTACATTCGATTTCGACCGCCACACTGAATAAGGCCTAAGACAGGTGTTCAAATCGTTGTGGGTTAGGAACAAAATGGAGAAAAGTCAAAGAACAGTATTTTTCGTTTTTATAATATCAAGTGACAGGACGAACAAGTCGTGCACCTGATGGTAAGCTACACGCCTGTCCATAACAGTTGCAGTGCCACTCAGAGCTTTAAATCGCAAGGATCCTGAGGGGCACTGCCACTGCGCTCGTCATCCTGAGATATAAGTTGACAAGTCCCATGTGCCTGTAATGTCGCCAGCACCCTTACCCTTGAAAACCGAAACGCAGTAATGCTAACATTACTGCTTGGCGGCAGATATTGGTAAGGTGGGAGTACTTCTCTGGACGAACTCTTTCACAAGGAGCGCTACTGCTGCTGTATGCTATTCGAGAGTGTAAAGCAATTATTCCCAATGTGGCCTATATTTACCACCAAGGTTCACTTCAATCTACAAGGGGTCCTCCATGTCAGCGAAAACAAATAGAGGTTGCATTAAACGTTAATCCACCACGAGAGTGGAACTCATTTAGGCAGATCGTAACCAAAACTTTGGCTTTTAATTAATGGAATATGTATATGACATCTATGTACATACCTAAATAATACTTTCTTATAATAGACATATTAATTACCCATGAAGTAAACATTTCACAGTAAACAAATGTTCCGTTAGATAATTGTATAAAGGAACAATGGCAAACTCCCATATAAATTTTTGTTGACATAATTTGTATGCGTCTGTTTATGAAAAATATGTGAAAATATACAGTTGAAATACCTGAACAAATTTTGTTTAGTGTTTATCATTCTGAGATGTCCAGATAAAGATATTCTAGTTTTGAAGTTTTGGAGGTTATGTGTTACGTATTTTGTGTATTATTACATCAAAATAAACTAAAGAAGCCTTTAACAGAGTTAATAGAAGCTGAATAATGTCGTGGGTTTGAGACGTGACGAAAGTTCAAAAGAAATTATTTTGTATACTGGTATAGTATAGTATAGTCAAAACGCATGAAGTTAAGCCATGACAAAAAACTGAGTTAATAACATACCACAGACTATTGCAATGGTAACTCGGACACAAATGGTTTATTGTGAAACGTGCTGTCTATCCCTTATTTTGGGAACTTTTTTGTGAGTTTTACCATTTTCTAATGTGCCATTTTGGAGAAGTTATTGACTTTATTTTTTGTAATGAAGTAGTTAATCTTTTATTAGCTTATTACAAATGTGGACCGTACCCATACGTAGATACTGAAATTACTTTTTTGGCGGCTAGATGTCGCTCAACGTTAAGAAAATAAGAAACTGATGGTTGCAGATATCAGTCCGGTTACATACTAATTAGTCATTAGAGTTTCTTTTAAATATGATTTTATTTCCAGACAACTTGTAATTAAGACATTTGAAGACGCTAACGAATTCGTTTTAACTATGATTTTCCCATTGTTCTTTAACATGTGTCAGAGAACAAATAAGTAATGAGAACGGACACTCTCCGCCCCTCCCTAGCTTTAGATACCGCACCACGCCCCGCACATTGACGGTCACATTGACTGAACGAGAACAAGGCTGTCGGCGAGCCGTTTTCGCGCTAAGACGGCTTTGATATTTGAATATAGTTTTCATTTATTCATTACGAAATTTGTACGTTAATATATAACATCATTTTAAGTTACTATTTATAATGGCCGTGAATTGTGCTGTGTATAACCATCTAAACGGGATAAAGAGAGGAATTTCTTTCGTTTTTTGAAAGATGAAACGTAGTACGTAAATAAACTTATGTCTTGAGACTCATTCAGTTATTGTTTTCTTTAGTGCAGAGTAATATATAATACAGATTTATTGTATCAATATAATAAGACGCCATAACTTCGTGAGCTAGACAAGGGTTCTCGAATTTTCAATTTTTATTGCCGATAAATATTACGTAGTGAATATACCTAATTATTAACTAGGTAATGATAAAGTTGGACACGCAATTTCTAATTCTTTGGTTACCTTTTTTAAAGGTACGTGTCCAAAGTGCTTTAAATATATTTTTTAAATAAATCTTAAATATTATTCTACTTAGTGAATTAATAAAAATATACTTTTTATAATATTACTTCGATATAAATACGTAATGAACATGTATAATTATTAGGATTCTATAATAGAATTATAGATAACAGATTCGCGTTACAACTTTTGCTATGTTGCCGCTCTGACCACGTAACGTAAATAGTACGAGCAAGTGATGGGTAACCCTGCCACTTCACGCACACATTTGCGCGTGTGCAGATAGCGCCTTGCTGTATGCAGTAGTAGTAGTAGGTAAATAATTTTCGACCGTTGTATGGAGTGTCCGGGGTGTGCATGTGTTTTTAGTACGTTTTTCACTATATAAAGTTATATTAATATTTTTTTTTTAAATTTTAGCTTACAACAAACATATAAAGTAAGGTTATTACAATACGAGATCCCTGACTGTCCAGTAGAGCAACTTGTGACATGAGAGCCAGTGTTCCTCCGCGAGCTTAAGTGGACAACCATACCCTACACGCACAGCATAAAAATCAGAAATTAAACTTGTTACGGACAAACTACAAACTTGTTAAGCTTGTACACGCTGCTGTCAAAAACACATTAAAAGCGATGGGTAACTTTCTGGTTAGTTTTTTCTACCTAATTTCAGTGGCAATTTTTAATATTAAAGTATTCGAGTAAATTATCATGAAATATTAAATAATATTTCAGGTTACTGCAACCAAATATTAAATAATACTCGATAATAATATTCTAAAATAGTTAAATATAGAAATTGCCACCGAAATTAAGTACGAGAAAAGTAACCCTGAAAATTACCCAGATGGCACATGGTTTATACCTATATTAAAACATTTTTCATATAAAATTGTGGTAGAGCCACAAAAAAAGTACAAGTTTCAATACAAATATTTACGCGGTCTCTAGCGTTTGTCAACGTAGTAAACGAATGGTAAGAAACAAAAGAATATTGACCTAATAGATTGAATGGCTCAGATCGTAGACTATATACGATGGCATACCGCAACTCCGTAGTAACTAACGTTTATTATCACGCAATTTTGTTTCTGTTGAATCGTTAGCAGCAATGTATGGGTCAACGTTAGGCGTTATTACACCCAAAAGGACTTCTGTACTTAAATTAAACTATGTTTACTAAATGGAAGCGTTCATATGCACGCACACAAGTCTTGTTATGTTGTGGGACGCCCAAAGCGCCAACACACATCACTATAACTTTAGCGTCGCATGGAATTGTTTCACTTTATTATTACAATATAACAAAAAGTCGTGGTAGCCTCTCCAGTCTAGCAGAGGTCGCGTTTGATTCTGAGCTTTTCAGAATTTATGTGCAAAATTTAATTTGAAATTAACTATGAACTTTTCCATGAAGGTTTTCACCTTCACACATGTGCAAGACAATTTGTGTGCATTTCTCAATCCGCAACAGAGCTTCTTAAACTGCAGCCCTCTCACTGTAAGAGGAGGCCTGTGGCTTGCAGTGAGACTATTACAGTCTAACTATTAAATTATTTATTACTACATTAACACAGCTGTATCCGTTGTATGTTGTATATGAATCTTCAACTTATTCGCATGCAGGACTTATATTTCCTCTGATGAAAAATCCCAAACAGACATAAGACTTCAGTACTAATTATTATGTTTTAGTTTTAGTTTTTTAGAACTCGATAATGTTATAAAAAACTTGAACTAAATGAAAAGTGAATGTAATGTACATACTCATCTGTATTAATTAATATTCTCTATTAAATTAATTTTATTGTATTTCATGATATTTACATGGAACGGAATGATTTTATTTTTAAATAATTATTAGTGGACTCTAACTCCCTTAAATAAGTGAGAATACACCATAGTTTTTCAAAGTGGTCCCTACTGCCTGAATTATCTATATAAACTACACTACACATATATGTATATAATTTTTTTCCTTATGAATTTTTGTGTTAAATTAATATAAAAAATATGTGTTTTCAATTATTTTTTATAGTGGTGGGCGTTGAAATTTTTTACCTTGCCTAAGTGGGCGGTGAGCCAATAAGTTTAGGAACCTGTGATATACACGCTCTGCAACACAAAATTTGCTTTAATTTTCAGGGATATCAATGACAGATGCATCAGGGAAGCCATACAGCACGAACGGGCACGGCAGCGTCGCTTCGATGAATACCACAGCTACAACCCTGACAGGCTTATCAGATGTCAGCACTATCACCAGATCACCGCTCAGATCCTCGCTCAAGAAGCCAAGACCTCGTGAAGGAGAACCAGGAGGTTTAGGTATTCAGAATCCCGGCTACTCCGGTCATTCGCCTCCCCTTAATCGAAATGGTAGCCAGAAGAAGGTACGGATACAAACGCACAGCACTGAAGTTTAATTCTTAGATTAATTTTATTTGTTATAAACTAACTAAGGAATCTCTTGTCAATGATATTTTCCTGTAAATATTGATTGAGAAAATCGTTTAGAGAATAATTTAACCATTAGGTTATAATTAACTGTGAACTTCAGGTGATTAAGACCTTGTGCAACGTTGGTGCTGCATAGCACTATTAATGTTGCTACTGAGTTACTTTTATTGCTGGTCCGTTTAAAAAACTGGCCAAATAATTACTTCCATATTTAGTGGCAAAACCACAAGTTGCCACATCACATTTTTAACCTACTATCCTGTGTTTATATCAAAAATTTCGACTGAAGTACTTGAATCCATGCCATGCAAAAATTTAAAAAAGCGGCTATCCGCGTTTTAAAGGGTTATTTGTAAAATACTAACAACTATCATTCATACTAACATCATACGCAACAACTTTTGTCCCATATCTATGTCCATGACCGTTTATAAAAGATAATAAATTATACCAAAAATGAACTTATAAGTGTTTGTTGCACTATCTGACACTTTAGATTTGTATCTTGTAGTAAGTTCAATCGTGCAAGCGTTGTATCCGACGATGCATAGTTATCATTCTTTAGAGCAATCTATTTTTTTTATGAAAGTAAATTTCATGAATTATTAAAAGTCATGGAACAAAAGTTGCTGTTTCGGATGTTTGTAATGTAGTCCAGTGAGGTCGTTAGTATTTTACAAATTACCCTGGATTGGCTACGCACTGCACATTGCACAAGGCCTAAATGGCGTAATGCAACCGCAATGGTTTTTTGTCATTTACCTAATTCTTTTGGAGTTCGGGTGTTGTCTGTTTTGTTTTTAACGGCCACGAGAAATGTACAGATGATTTTGACTATGATCTAAAAAGAATCTACATATCTCATTAACTGTAAATTATTTTGTATTTCAATGTTGTCGAGTCCAATTTGTGTAGTGTAAGTAGAAAATTAAATTTTAAGTGCAAACCAATATATTTACAATTTTGATATTGCAGATTTACATCCAATTTCTGTATATTTGGCTTGAACAAAGTTCTTTGTTAGTAATATCTTTAGTCGACACTTTATGTGTAAGTATTTTTAATCAGCACCAAGTGTTGTATAAACGCAATTTTTATTGTTATTCTCAGGGATCGAAAGACATTTCAGTACCTGCAAAATTTAACACAAAACACATTTCGACACGGTAGAATTTACAATGTAACATTACAATTTTGGTTCTGGTAACAGAAGAAAAAGAAAAACATTGTTGATTCTTCTTAATCTGCATGCTTTTTGTGTTCAGTTTTGCATGTCTGGAAACGATTAAAATGTTCGCCTGTCTCGTTCCCTGGACACTCTTATTCCTATACAGGGATTTTTGCACATCTGAGCAAATTTTTTTGGAAAAATTGTTTGCTATATATCAAAATCGATTTGAACACTATGTACTCGGAAATATTTTTATATTACTTTACATTATATTATGTATTTTACGTTTCTGTACAAGAATGTTGTTAAATGAAAATGTTATGTTTCCAATTTAATTATATAAGTAGGGAACAAACAGCCCTTTAAATTATTTGCCTGAATTTGAAATGAACCCCGTACTTTTATTTTAAAGAAGTTGTTATAACGACCTTGCTATACATATTTCAATCAAACTATCACAATGTAAGAATTATTAAATAAATTTAGTTACAATAAGGTTATAAAACTTTCTTAAGAAGTATTGTATGTACACATTATGTATTGTAATGAGCCCACCATGCTCTAAATAAGACCCAGAGTGTCTATTTTATAATCGCAACTTTTTTTAAATTGAAACCAATTTGACAGACACGTAAAAATGTTGCCATCCCTAACCCTCTTTTAAATATTATTTTTTGGGTTAGTCATAGAAGCGACACCACTGTCCACGTTTATTTACTGACTTTTCCAGTACAATCGTGCCTTTTCCAAACAAAAATACTAAATATCTGAATAGTGCCTTATCCTTCGCCTTTTAAAAAAATATTGACAAAATAAAGACTTACCAGTTGTTTTAATACATATTATCTTATTTTATATGTACATTTTCATTATGTTATTTGCCCAACGTTTGGAAAAAATGTTTCACAGGTGGCACACAATTTCCCTTGTAATTTTTTTTCTGGCTCCTCCAACTGAATTACCGATAGTGTTGAATCCCACCTTACAGCAGCCCCATTGTAAAAAAATATATGAGGTTTAGTCACACTTCAAATTCAAGGATCGCGGCCCTGAAAGACTCTAGACCCTCTGTATACAGACTTGTAGTAGATGCTCAGAGCTGACGAGTGGTGGTCAACAATTAAGCAGCTGTAAAGTGACTAGCTGTAGGACAAACATATGTATTACTACTTTTTTTCACTGAAGTAAAAAGTAATATATTTCTTCCTAGCTCCCCGTCAGCGTTCCATGACTGTGGAAGAGAAATTTGGGATGTTTCACCTATGAGCAAATAATAAAATGAAAAATATATTAATCCTTTCCAGGTTTAATTGTACCTATTTAACACGTAACTTTTATTTGTAGTTCTACAATTTTAAATAAGGGTATTTCGTTTTTACTATCCGTCCAAGCTCTGGTCTTAAGTTTAGTTTTCAAATTATTACTTTGATGTATAATATAGATTACTTTAAGTATGAAATGCATAAAATCAGAGTGTTTATTATTGTTAATTTTGTAAAGTTGGGACCTACTGAATATTTTAATGTACTTGCATAGCAATGTTTACTTTTTGGCTTAAAACCTATTGCAAAAAGTTTTATTTTTATAATGTAAACATAACTGAAAGTTTATTGTTGCTAAGTCTATAGCATTCCTTTTCTTATATACAAAACTGGTTTTTATTCAACAATGTTAACAGTGATATCTGAATCTCAAACTTCAATATAAAGTTCTTGGAATTTCCGTCCTTTTGCAATATATTATGTATATTCGTGAATGAATTCTGCTGAATAAAGAAAATTTTATAACGGAACTTTCGTGACTTTTTTATTTAAACATAACTGCGAATTCTTGATGGTAGGTAATGTAATTTTTCTAGGAATAGAAAACCCGAACATTGACATTGTATTCCTAAATTAATATTTTTCTTATATAATTAAAATTACTTGCTTATATAATTATATGAATAAAACTAGCTCCCCGTGGCAAGGTGCCTCGATGCTGGCAACTTTCCCCTTTGTATAGCTATGCTAATGCGTTGGACCAGGTGGATGTAGCCGGCCCTTGGGTTTCCCAGACAGTCTTTTTGCATAAAATTTTGTACTGACGAGGGCCACCGGCACCCGATGGACCAAGGGTTTCCACTCCCAAAAGCTGCAAATAGGTTAATCGGAGTCGAAATAAAATTTAACATAGTCTCCATCTTTGTAATTTGTGGTTGTTTCTATGCTTGTAACCGCGACATGATGTAGAACAAGTTTGTTACTAATTTTATTTCGATTAAATATACTAAATCAATAAAATTTAACAATGATCGTAATAATTAAATTATCAGACATACATACATTAGTATACATTGTGTTGCTACAACGATATATTTTTGAGTTTTTTCGCCATCCAAAATGGATTTACGTCGATGGGAATAATAATACCTTAGAATAATAACGCATAGAATGATGGTTTCGTATCAAACGAACTGTCACAAGTGTGGAATATGATGTTAGTATCTATTTTATGTTTGTCTGGCGTATTTTTACACTCATTTACAGCACATTTCGTCATTTTTAGCTAAAATTCTTGATCTGTTGGCAGTGCAAGTTGACCTTGAGCACTGAAGGCCCGCCCGCTCGTGTAGGCCCATTGGGCGCGCTTCATTTGCCTCACTTAGCGTGTGCGGACTAGGTTTCTATGCGTTATTATTCTAAGAACAATACAATAGATAGCAGCGTTTTACCTAATATTAAAACGCTTATTAGCAGCGTTTTACCTAACATTAAAACGCTTATTAAGCGATAACCTTATTTGAAGCCTAAATATTTGAGAGTAGCGAACTTGATTTCCGGTAGTGTGTCAGTTTTAGCTCGAATTTCCCTTCTACATCCCCCACCATCTAGCTTCTGCTACTGTACACCAGGTGGCGCACACTCACAACGGGATTGTGTTTTTGCGCCCTGGCTCATTGGAGCTCAAATGTGTTAAAAAGTTATTTCGCCAGGCAGAATTGGAATGTTAGGCTTCAAATAAGGTTATCGCTTAATAAGCGTTTCAATGTTAGGTAAAACGCTGCTATTAAGCTTTTGAACCGTTATTTGAAGCCTAAATATTTGAGATCTGTCTGTTATCGCCTGGTGTACAGTAACGCCAATGTGATATTTAATTGTATGTGTAATGTAACTATTATGCGTTTGTATAGGTACATATATGCTGACTAACGTGAGTAAGAAATGGTACACAAAAATATGTTATCATAGATGGTAAGGAGATTAATAAATAAAAACCTTTAAGTAAGTTCTAGTTAAATCTATTTTGTAACTTTGCAATTCAAAAAGAACCAAACTTATAACATGGCCTTCACAAAATCATAAATCACTGAAATCGATGTAACACAATATAAATACATTGTGAAATATAACTAAGTAGGTATAAATCCTTAGGTGGAAGTAAACATAAACGATGATTAAAATCAAAATAAAATATCCATAAACAATTAATATAAGTAGATGTTGTATTTTATGCAAAAACATTGTGTGTATCTAATTAGCAATTATTTTTATACATTGCAAATGGGTAATAGGTATTGTAGCAATAGTAAGTAAAGACTTTACTACCATATTGTGACATTTCAATTAGTGACCGATACAAATAGATGCGACATGGTGTTAGAAGATGGTAGAGGAGCACGAATTTCACGACAATAGTATTTAAGGAACGTGTTTTCTGATCGCCAATTGCCGCGCGCAAGAATATCGTCCAGCGGACAGTTTTGCACCCAGTCCTTAGATGCCACAGCCGGTCGGATATTTGTGCGCGAAGCTGCCTTAGGCTGGCCGCAAATTGTTAAAAATAAGTTATCTAGTTTACAAATAGATCGTCTCGGTTGAGATAATTCAATGACTTTTCTAATCCAAAACAGAGGGTCTAGCGCTAAAGAATCTTTATTTTTAACAATACGCCAACCTGATTGTCTATTGTTTGCTGTATCGGTTTTAGAACCAAATTTTGGCCAAAAAACTACAGATTCGTCTGAAAATATACAATCTTCGTTGCCAACATTTAGCAAAGTCAGATCATGTATTCGGCGTCCAGAACATAACAACAACAATACTGCGGCGCGTGTACAACACTCGAATAAACTACGCGTATCCGGTATATTATTTTGTAACCAATGAGTAAGTACATCAGTATCCCATATTGGAGTTTTTATTTTAAAACAAATAGAATTTCGATTATTACTTATGGCCTTTAAGGCCTGTCTAACTAATAAATGTGAACTTAAACGTGATTCAGCGTCTGGGTCACAAAACATAGAAATAGCAGATTTGTAAACTAATATGGTATTGTAGGCCAAACCTTGTGTCTGATGTAGATCTATAAGAAACCTAGCTAAATCGGCTCCAATCAATTAGGATTTGAGGCACTTACAAAATTACTGGTGGCCCATACGCACCATTTTTGCCAGGCTGGTTTGTACGTTCTCATTGAAGTTTCACGCCAACTTTTTTGCAAAAATTCCTTCTGTTCCTGAGACCAACCTACAAGACTTTTGGTCCACCCCCACATCTCCACACTTCCAGGGTAATTTCCGAAACTAGCGGAGGAGGTCGACTCGTTGTTGCGTCGACTAGGACTTGTTCCAAGTTCCAAATTGTGAATGGAGGACTCAGCGCACGGTTCTTTAAGTCTGGCCTCCAAAACACTTTCGTCCACCTGGGGACTACTATCAAGTATATTCCAGTTGCCGAGTTGAGGTGCTGAAGGACGCGTGGAATCAGAAAAGGCGGCGGGAACACCCACGCCAGAGGATAGTGCCACTCCTGGCTGAACGCATCGTGGAAGTGAGCTTTTTGATCCCTCACATCGAGTGCGCTGTATACTGGGACTACATGGGCTATTGATGACGCGAACAGGTCTATTACTGGACGACCCCACTTGGAGAAAATTGTGGACGTTATCTGAGGAAGTAGATGCCATTCGGGAGGATAGGTCAAGCGGGATAACTGATCGGCTTCTCCGTTGTATCGGCCAGGAATGTACTGAGCCACCATATGGATGTTGTAAAGGTCTAAGATATTGAAAATTTTGTAAGTCATTTCCATTAAGGGGTGTGACTTGGTACCACCCTCGTTTCTCAAATACGAAACCACCGTTCGATTGTCGCTCTGAATTAATAGGGATGAGCCTACCAGGTGCCGACAATGGTCTTTCAATGTGTACCAAATGGCCCTCATTTCCCTTTGGTTGGAATGTGAATTCGCCTCGTTTACGGACCATAGGCCCGACAGTCTCAGATTGTTCAACTGAGCTCCCCACCCTGCTGCAGATGCATCTGTTAGTAGGTATTCTGTTACGGGAGGGTAGTGAATGGGCGAGAACTGGGCTAAATTTACTTGCCACCATTGCAACTCTTTCAAAGCAGCGTCCGGAATCCGATACCGGTGCTGAGTGTTCTGTAGAAGTAATTCCTGGCAATGTTTTAGAAGCGCTCGGTGGTTCAAGCGGCCCCTGGGTACGGGAAAACTTGCAAAGTTCAGTGACCCTACAATGCTTTGAATTTCTTCTAAGTTTGCATTTTTGGGCTCAATAGAGAGGAAATTTTTGTACTGGCAAACTATTTTGGTTAGAGTGGGGATTCCAAACTAATGCCTAAGTACTGTATGGTCATCTGTGGTATTAACGCTGACTTTTCGTAGTTGACATTCCAACCGAGCTGGTCTAAAATACGGATGGTCTCCTGAGCTTGAAATTGTAGGCGGTGGGGGTCTTGACATGCAAGTAAATAATCGTCGAGGTATACAATTATACGAAAACCTTTCTGTCGTAGAACCTGTGCTACCCAATTTGTCAAGGTCGCAAAAATTTTTGGAGCACATGCTAGGCCAAAAGGTAGGCACGTCATTTGCCAAAGTTGATGTTTGTAAATTATTCTTAAGAAGCGCCGATGCGTTTTCGAAACCGGCAGATGGAAATAAGCATTGGACAAATCTATTTTTACCAACCAATCTCGTGGTTGCAAGAAGGTTACGACTCTGTGCACATTTATGCGCTTGATTTTGTCCACAAATACATAATAGTTTAATCTTTTTAAATTGAATATTGGACGCATTGAGCCATCGCTTTTCGGTGTTAGAAACATTTTTGAAACGAAACTGGAACTGGGGACTGCAGGTTCTAAAACTTCCATTTTCACTAATTGGTTTATAATTTCGTCCATATCTTGCGACACTGGTGTTTGCGATAAATGATTGAATAGGTCTGGTACCGCTAATGGGGGCTTGGCTATAAATGGTATGCGATAGTTCTGTACAATTTTCATTACCGTTGGAGGTGCTTGCAATGCCTGCCAATGATCTAAAAAATCTGGCAACCGGCCCGCTCCAAATTGGACATAGTCAATATTTTCTTTTTGACTGTCTACGAACATTTGACTGAGCAAATACCTTTCCTTGACGTCTGCCTGAGCTCGAATACATATCATGGCTTTGAAACGTTTGTGCGGGCCTCTGACGAGGTCTCACTTGCTAATTAAATGGTCTAAAAATGGGGCGAGGGTAGTCGCGCCCTTGATTAAAAGAATTCCAAGTGCCTTGTAAAGGCGGCCTGTTGAACAAATCCATGTCAGGATAGGTAGTATAATTCAAATTACTGGGCATTTTAGTTGAATAATTCAAAGCATGACTAGGCATGACCTGAGCCTGCTGTTGGGGCTGAGCTTGCGCAACAGCTTTAGTTTGTGAAGGCGCTCGGAGCGGCCAAAATGTTTTCTATACACCACCAGCTTTTTCAATAGCCGTAGAAAATGATTGTTTATGAAATAAATTCTCGCTAGTTGGCGGGATTTTACGCAAACCCGCCTTTAAAAAGGTATCTTTTACAGAGCGCAAAATGTTATCACGTCTTTGTTGTACTAATTCGGCCCTATAACCACATGCTAACTGCAAAACATCACTACTGATTTTTTGAAAATGACTTTTCACAAATAATTCATTAATTTTTTCGTGCAAAGACTTGGCAGAAACATTACCCGCGGAAGTGGCCCAATCCATTAATCCTCTAAAAGATTCTTGTGCGGTTTCGTTCTGCTTTATGAGGGCTTGCGTAATAGCAGCGAAGCCACGCTCGATAAGTGCGAGAGAATTGTTTTTATCGTAAGGTCTAATTTCATCGTTGGTTCTAAATAAGTAAAACACGGATAGGAGCAGTATTGTTTCTGTACTTCAGCATACCGTACATTATTCCAATCTTCAGTATTAAAATGTTGTATGGAATTTAACAAATCTATATGAATCTGTGAAGATTTTTTAATAGAAGGTTCTTTCATAAAAGTGTTTAAGGAAAATTTTAAAGTACCCGGATCGGAGACTTGCGCCGGTTCTTGTACACAATTTTCACTGTTGTATAGTTCACCACTGACATCTGCACTGATATCGGGTGCAAAGTCTACATTTTCATTTGGATTGGGCACATAAACGCTTGAATGACATGTAGGTTGGAATGCACCACTACATGCAGCAATATAATTTTGTATACCACTTACTTGTTCCGTCAAATAGCGTAAAGTATCCTCCATTTGGTAGCGACGGCGTTTATTACTACGTTCCTTTGAGTGCGAACGATTTCTTTTTCGTTGCTTATTTATCTCCGGCGGAGGCAGACGGGGTGGCACTTCGTAAACTTCGGCCGTGGTCTCTACTGATCTATATTGCTGAGAATCCGAGCTCGACGAGGAAGAATCGGACGAATCCGATACATTGACTTACCTCGTACCATTCATAATTTCACAAATTAACGAACGATAAAACCGTTTAGAATTTTAATATAATTATGGACACAACTGACAACTATGGAAAACAAATCGCCAATGAGTCAGGGCGCGAAAACACAATTCCGTTGTGTGTGTGCGCCACCAGGTGTACAGTAGCAGAAGCTAGATGGTGGGGGATGTAGAAGGGAAATTCGAGCTAAAACTGACATTACCGGAAATGAAGTTCATAGAGACAATTACTTAACAGTAGTCATAATATTAATCTACTTTATTATAGCAATCTTTATGGTTCAATAAAAATACCCAGAGCCATAAAAATATTAATAAAAAAAATGACAGCCTGTGCTGTGCTTGGTATTATTCCATTTATAGATCGAGATTTATTATGACGTTGGCGGGCCTTTTTCGTTATGAGGCTGGCTTAGAATACATTCCATTCTATCTTTGTTAGTCTGTTTTTGGGTGGAATAGCGTTCATTTCGTTAAAAATGAAAAATTATTTTCTTCCGTTAAAAATTTTGGAAATTAGGATGGACATTCTCCATATCTGGCAACATTCAAGTGTTAAAATCACCACCGGATTAGACATGGGGAATAGCGTTACATTTCTATCGCCGTGACTGTCGTTCCGGTTCCAAAAAAATCACAGTAATAAATCATCGTGATTTTGTCACGACTGTTACTTCCGTGACCTTGTCACGCCTATAACTTATTACATCACGATATACGGTTTTTGCCAGCGGCTTCTTTCTAATACTTATAGCCGTTTTTTATAGAATGATTTAAGTTTTACTCCCTTTGTAATAAGTTTCAATTCCATTCAAAAAGTTGATGTTGTATTTAATGTAATTTTGTTTGTTACTTATTTAATGCGAATCTAATGGATTGTTAAAAATAGCAATAAAGTGTAATGTAATTATTTTTCTAGTAGAATACACAACGTAGATTATACACAAATATAAAATACTTTTTTTTATTATAGTAAGAGTTCTTCCTATAATAAAACAAATATACAAAAATATTTTACTTTGTTCATAAATAGGTTTGTAATAACTGCTGCAGATTTTTTTCATCCGCCTTTTCTAGTAGTAATAAGCACCTACGAGTGTGAGTGAGCAAAGAAAGTCATCCTATTTCATTCACTCCCATTGCCTAAATGGCCCGATTTGAAGGGAACTAAAACGAGTGGCGCGCATAGTCACCACGGAACGGAGATCGCGCATTGTATCAAATACGTATGTAGTGATGTGAGTGACGGGGATAGCTATTGGAACGGAGGAACACCTTTGTGACTGGAACGTCGTTCCTTCGGAACGAGTCACGGTGATACTGTTTGACGGCGCCGGCGGATCATCGTGATTTTTTCATCGTGACGTTAATTATCACCCTACACCGGATTCGCTCTGGAACTTTTGGAGGGAAAAGTGTCGTTTTTATTTTGACTTTCAATTATTTTGTGAAGTCTAGTTTAAAGTGGAATAGGATAGTGCTATTGTGCCTTAATCGAAGATTAAAACGCAAAATTATACGAATCTCGAACTAAAATACCCGTATCGGCCTGTTTTAAGAAATCCCGAGTCAATCCAAGCACGCCGCCGCGCCGCAAATTGCCTATCCTCTTTGTGGCGGCCATATTTACAGAAACATAATTAAACTTCATGTTTAGGCTGATGGCTTTGCCAAAGCCTTAATAAATTAAAAAAAAAAATCACCGGCAACGAGTCATTGATAGGGATGATCGATATTAAAAAAACATCGATGATGACATCGATGTCATAATCGAAAGCTCAACATCGATGTTCGATATTTATCGAAAACCGAACATCGATGTTGGATCCATCGATAATTTTTACATTAATAATTGACAAAGAAATAAAACACAATGTATAAGTTCGAAATTTATTAAGCAACAGATCAAATTATTACATATCCCAATATTTTTTATTAATTGACTGAAGGAAAAGTAATTTTGATAAAGAAGAACCTTTTAATCGGTTTCTTTGTTGATAAAGAGTAGAACCAGCTTTTGAAAACAGTCTTTCGGATGGCGTTGATGTCGCGATAGTACTTAAATATTTTACCGCTATTTTTTTTAATTTCGGGTAAGTGGAACCGATTACATTATTCCAAACTTGGAGAGGATCTTGTTCAAGATCAGACACTGGATTTTTCAAAAAGTAACTCAACTCTGAAGGCA